CATCAACCCAGGGATGAACCCGGTACTTACTGTTGGGTTGAGAGAGTGAAATCCCAAGGAGAGACCTTTTAGGGCCAGAATTTCCCTCTCCTTCGACTCCTGGAGGCTTTGGCTCAGCGAGTGCCTGTTGGCAGAGCAGCTGCTGCTGCTGTCAGATGGTCATGAGTGAAACCTGAGGACATGCGGGGTCCTTCAGGTAGCCTCGGCCCCGTCTCAGCTGTGGCATTCGTCCCCCGCCGCGCCAATCATGGGGCTGGCGGCGCCTGCAACCCCCGCGGCCGCATCGCCCAGTGCTCCCGGGGTCCTGCGTGCGCGGACCACCCCACCCCGCCCCCGCACCGCAGCCACTCCGGCCATGCGCGGAGCCGGGGACGCGGCCACCCGGGGTGGTCAGGGTGACAGAGCAGCGTGTCCCAGATGTTGAGGTGGCTTCAGGCTGGTTTTGGCACCAAATGGGCCATGGGGAGGTGGAGAGGTGGAGGGGGAGGTGGGAAGGGACCCCCGGCCAGCACCTCCCCATCTCTCTCTCCCACAAGTAACGTGCAGTTGGAAAGAGCAGTGGGACAACCACGAGGGTGGTGGTGGTGGGGTTGGTGCCAACCCTGCTGCCAACGTTGTCTCAGAGTTGGTGGCTCTTTGGGAGTGTCGTTTGGTCGTGCAGCACCCAGCACCACCCGCGGCTCCTCCTCTTGCTTCTGTCTTTTCTGCTTCGTTCCCCCCGTGCCCCCACTCCGCGGCTGCCCAATCTTGCACCAACACCACATTTCTCTGCACACCAGGAGCAACTGATGGTCAAGATGGCCAGCAGCCACGTGGGGTCACCCTGCTTTGACAGCAGGACACCTCACCCCGTGTCCCTTGACGCACACCCCGTGTTCCTTGACGCATACCCCATCCAGGGAGACCTCCATGGGTCTCAGCCAGACCAGGGTGGACTGGGATGGTGCGAAAAGGAGGTTTGACATGTGGTGGCCTCCCATCTTGTCCTTCCTGATAGAGCCTTTGTGTGCTCTTTGCATGCCCAGGTAGTTCCTCAGGTGTGTAGGGTGCTCAGGGGGCACCCAGGGCTGGGAGGAGAGCATGGAGTGGTGCTTGCAGGGATCACCCCTTTTGGGGTACACGGGGCTGCATTGGGGGTGGACCAACCACCCCAGCACCCAGCCTGGTCAGGGGGGACTCATCATGGCTCCAACACCACCAGGTCTGTGCAAATCTGCTGCTCATCCAGTCTCAAAATACCCTGTAGGAACTTTCCCGTGCTGGCGTGGGCTTTGTTGGCGCCGAAGCACCTGCCCTCCCCAGCCTGGCATCCCTCGCCAGCGTGTTCCCATGGCAATTCGCCTTTCCCTGCCTCCAGCCTCTCGCCTGCGGGGGTCCTGGTGCTCGCCTGCATCCCATGGCAGTCAATAAAAACAGGGCCAAGACTGCAAACCCGAGCGCGCGGGGAGCTGGGAAGCAAAGTTCCTCGGCTCAATTCTGCTTTTCACTCAATAATTTTCCTTTTCTGCTCAAGGCTGTGTAAACACCGCAGCGCAGGAGACCGGGTTTAGCTCTCAGAGGGAGGAGAGGTGGTGCTGCGTGGGACGGAGGATTAGCTCCATGCGGGAGATGCCGAAGGTGTGCTCTGGGAAGCATAACTTGGATTTCTTCAATTAAAAACCGACCCCAGGGCTCTTTTTACTGACTTGGAGCCCGGGCTGGACCCAGAGCCACTAAAGCCACGGGAAGGAGGGAGTGAAGAGCTCCCAGGGGAATGCTGCAACCAGGGCGGAGAGCACCGGGAGCCCGTTGGGAGCTCAGCAGCGAAGCGACAGCCCGTCCCCACGGGCAAAGTGCGTTCCCCGTGTGTCTGGTGGTCGGTGGTTTCAGCCGGCGAGGAGGGCAGGGACAGGGATGTCCTCCTGCTGTGGCTGTGGGGACTTCCCACTTGCTCCGGTGGTCACAGCGGGAAATTCAGGGGATGCTCGGCGGGTCCCATCAGCTGCCCCAAACCCAACCCTTGCCACCGCCTGGAAGCCTGTGCAAGCTGCAACTGCTCTTTTTTCGCTTTGCCTACAGCAAACCTGGGGAGAGGCACGTGAGGGTGGAAACCCCGGGATGTGGCTTCTGCCCTTCTGGAAGCTGGGAGCACCCTGGGGTGCCCAGCTGGGCACTGGGCAGGGATGAGGACACAGCTCTGCCTGCCAAAACCGGCTAAATCCCAACAGGGATGGGAGCTCAGGGTACCCACAACACTAATTTGGGAGGAAAACCCGTGTCCTGGGGGTGACAGGGTGGGATAAGGGCAGCACCTGGCACAGCCTGAGTGACCCTGGGAGTGTTTGAGGTGCTTTGGCTTGCACCGTTCCCTGAAGCTGTGGGTGATGGGTGCATCCTGCCCCTCTCCCTGCTGCCGGACCGGCTGCATCCATGGGAGGGGTCCATGGGGCTGAGCTGATCTCGGTGCAGGCAGGAGCTGGGCAGAGATGGAGCTGGGCTGGAAATAAGCTGAGCCAGCGAGCTGGGGCGCGGGGAAGGGGCATTTACGGGGAGAAGTCCCCAAACCGCAGAGCCAGGCGCATCCTGGAGCAGGGATGCGGGAGTGGGTGCAGACACCCTGGAGCAGGGATGCGGGATTGGGTGCAGGCACGGGCATCGGGGCACCCTGGGCAACCAATCAGGGTGGCCTGGCAGCCCCCGGAGGAGCAGGGGATGCAGGCAGGGAAAGAAGCAACAGGCAAAAGCACTCCCAGCCCTGAGCCTTATTCCCATCCCCATCGCTGATTAACCCTCACCTGGGCAGGGCTGCGGAGGGGGACCCTTGGGGGGGGTCCCAAATCTTGCTGGAGCCTTGGGACACGTGCGGGTTGGGTGCACGCTCCCCTGAAGCGATGTGGCCGCCTTACCTTACTCCCTGGGTTCTCTCAGGGTCCGCGACAGAGCGGTGTGGCGGGGCCGCAGTGCCACCCACCGGCTCCAGGCAAAACACCCCCCCCTCCCCTCTTCTGCCGGACACCCCTCTCCGCCCCAGGGGAGGACCAGGCACCCCCAGGGCAGGCTGGGCGATGGGGATGCTGCCATACCCTGGGCCACGCTGGAGGGGAGATGGGGAAAGCCTGCCCCTGCTCTGCCTAGGCTCAGCTCCCCCAAATACGCGGCTTTAGGGCACAGTCTGTGCTAGAGACACACCGAATCCTTTCGCAAACCTTTCCCCCGGGCTGAATGTGATGCACAGTCCCCGTGCGGGGGGTGGCACATCAGCCCTCCCGCACCCGCCGTGGCCTCCCGCCTTCGCAGGCTCTGCCACACGCCGTGGAGGCCGTGGGGTCAAAGCCCCGCGGGTCACTCTGGGGGGCAGGTTTAGCACCCAGAAAGGCCCATTTGCAGCTGGAAATGCACTCAAAACCCAGTGCTTTTCAAAGCTTTATGGCAAGTGTGACAGTCCCACCGAGCATCCCCAGCCCTGGCACAATCTGCTGCCGCTGTCTGCCTCCCATCCCTGCCCAAACAGCATCTTCCTCGCTAATGATGGAGAGAGATGTTTATTCACCTGTGGTCTCTTCCCGGCTGCAGACAGGTATTTATTTGACAGCCGTCGTGCTCCCCTGGAGGTTTCCTGGCCAGTAATGCAGGACGTTGCTGGCCCCGGGGGGTTGTTTAATGAAACCTCTTCCATCTCACCTCAAATCAAGTCTGGGGTTCTGTTTGCCCTCTCAACACCTCTTTGCAAGACCGGACGGGATCTCTGGAGATCCGGCGGTCTGGAATGGGGCCAACAAATGGGTTTTGTTTAAGGGAAGGACATGTGGCTACATGGAGAAATTACAACCCAGGAAGCGTGAGGAGCTCTGCTGAGATCGGGTGGTTGGGGTCTTGGGAACACGGGAGAGGCCAGGAGGTTTGGGGAGAGGGCATTCGTGGCTTTTCTCACTCCTGGAGACAGCGTTTGCCTAGGCAGGAGCTCAGCCCAGGGAGGGCGAAGGATGCTCGTGGGGGCGAACGGGGCAGGCTGTGGCGTGGTGGTGGCAGCTCCGACCCGGAGGGGACCTCTGGGACAGCCTGTGATACTACCCATCTTGCTCTGTTCCTCACCTTCCTCCTCCAGCTCCTCTCTGCGGCCATGCCCAGAGCCTGGCTGCTTCACCAGGCAGAGAAAAAGCAGGTATTTCTCCCCCAGGGAATATTTCCAGGCATTACAGGCATTGGCAGGGTTGCCAGCTTGGTACCAAGATATCTGGGTTTGTAGAGCAAACCAAACCACTGAAAAGCAATGCTGGATTTCAGAACAAGATTTTATTGGCAAAAACCTCACTAGTGCCGGGCAAACGAGTCCCCAGTGAGGATGGGTGAGCCCCACTGCTTGCAAACCATCCCCATCCCTCCGGTGCAAAGCCCCTGGGAGAGCTGCAGAGCTCCTCCGAGCTGGCACGGCAAGGGTGATGGACCGTCTCCTGCGGCACCGAGAGCAGCTGAGGCAACAGGCAGGGGAGAAAGGGAAACATTTTGGAAATCAGGGGAGGATCTGAGGCATGAGACCATCGAGGGTCTCACCTAGAGACCTGTGGGGTTTTGTCTGCCTCTGTATTTGCTTCTCCCACTCCCAGAATGGCTCCCCGGGGGTTGTGTCTCAGCATCTTCCCATAAGGGAAACAATTTTGTAAACCAAAGAAGGAGGGGAAAATAACTGGCAGTAAATCCCTTCAGCATTGCGGCCGCTTCAGTTTTCATTCTGGTGCCAAATGAAAAATGCCAAATGTCCTTTGTGAAATTATATTTGTGTTTCCTACCCCATCCTGGGGCAGAAGAGCTGGAGAAGCTCTCTTCCCATCCTCTAAAGCATAACCAAAGAGCTTTGGGCAGGCGAGACACCATCACCGGGGTCCAGGAGAGCCAGCAGCACCCCAGCAGGTAGAGCCTTTCCCAACGGCCGTTCACACCACCCTCTGAGGGTGCCAGACCCAGAACATAAAAAATCCCTTTTATTGTGTTTCTGGGACTGTAGCCGTGGAGCTGCACCACCACCACCATCCTCAGGGAGGTATTTCCCCCCCAAACGCCGTTCTCATCACGCAGTGAAGTCTTGGGTTGCCAAGTTGAAGACGTTGCTCTCCATGGACGACTGCCACTTGCCCCAGTTCCTCTTGATCTCAGCCTGGACCTGAACCGACACCACGGACCAGTGCTGGCACCCAGGGGCACCCGCCAGCACCCGACGGAGGGGCAGGAGCCCCTGGGGCTCAATAAGGGATTTGAGGTGCTGGAGGGTGGTGGGGAGCCCCATGCATGTGTCCATGCCCAGGTGTGCACACGTGCATGGTTGCATGCATGCAATGCTCATTTGGGGTGCGCCCTTGGGGGGTGTCTGTGTGCCCACGTGTGTGGCTGTGGTGCCCAGGGGGTCGGTGTTGGGGGACACACGCACCTCTCCATTCAGGAAGCAGTACAGCAGAGCCACCAGGAACCCCTGGAAAGGACAGAAAGAGCAAATTCCACCCAAGGAAAGGGGCTGGACCCCTCTGTGTTCGTCTGCTGCATGTAACATCCTCCCACACCTCTCACCTTATCCTACCGGTGTATGGGATCAGCGCAACCTCACAAGATCACAACCCTTGTGCCTTGTCCCTGGTGTTTGAGGGATGTCTGGGACATTTTCCCCTCCCAAAAGAGTGCAACACATCCTGGGGTCCCCTGGTGTGATCTTGGGATGGGACAGGATGGGTACATGGGGATTCTGCCTACCCATCTCCCCCAGTCTGTACCTGGTAGGAGCCGAGGACCAGCTCGAAGTACAGCCGGGCATCCACACCGATGTGCTCAGGGAAGAGCGCGAAGACCACATAGTGCACCCCGAAGAGAGGGATAAGGAGCAGCGTGGACTTCGTCAGCCTCCTGTGGAGAGTGGTGGCATAAGCGGGGGGGCCGGGGTGCAGGCAATGGTCCTGCTGCCCTGAGAGACAAGCCCTTCCCAAGAGCTTGGTCTTAACCCAAAATTGGTTTTCCATGAGAGGAGGTCTTGGAGGTTCCAAGGATGGTCCTCCCCTGTGCTCCTCCAGGGAGGTGTTCCTGCCGCCCTGGGTCCCCCCAGAAACCGGGGTGAGGGGGCTCCCCCTTGCCCGAGCCGGTCCTTACATGTACTGCTGCTTGTAGTTCTTGCTGATGTCCGGGGACCGGATCTTCTGTGCTAACATCCTGGTGACATTGAGGAAGATGAGGAAGTTCACCTGCCAGGGGAAGCTATGTCTCAGGCTCTGCACAGACCCCTGGTTGGGTCCCCCTTGTCCATATGGGACCCCCGGCTCTGGGGCTGGGATGCTCAGGGAACGTACTCACAAATATGGCCAGGAGGATGGGAGCCTTGATCACCCACCAGTACAGGCTGGTGTAGTCATCCCAGCACCTGTGGGAGAGGAGAAATGGCTCTGCCACCCACTTGCACCCTTTTAGCCCAGGTCTCACCCCTCCACCCGACCCAGACCCCTGTCCCATCTGTACGGCACCTCTTGCCACAGTATGAGCCCCACCAGAAAATAGAAATAGCTTTAATATAAAGTGCTGCCCCACTTCTCCCCTCTTGACTCTCCCATGCAAGAGGGTCATCCTCCACGACTTGCACGGGGGACATGTGGCCGAGCTGGCCTGGAGAAAGAAGAGGGGGGGGATGCTCTTACCCGTGGTTGTCATATTGCAGCCTGGTGACCACCCAGACACAGACCGTCAGCATGGGGACGCCTGCAAGGACAGGACCATGGAGTCAGCCCGGGGCTCTGGGGAGCCCCTGTAACCTCCCCTCCATCCCTTGTCCCCAAACCCACGTGTCTAGGTCAGGTCTGGGGCCCTGGAGGTGGCAGGAAGGTAACAGCCTTCTCCCCTTTCTCCAGGTTTTAAAAGGAGATGGTGCCCACCGATGGTGGTGTGTCTGTCTGCACGTCACCTCCTGGCCACCCTCCTGCCCCTCCCTGTGCTCTTACATCTAACCTGGGCACCCGGGACGGGCTTTTCCAGCCCCAGATGGATGTGGGAAGAAGGAAGGACCTGTCTCTGTCCCATCCTGACCACATTCAGGACGGGTCGGCAGCAGATGCTGCTGCAAAGGCTCTTTGGTCGACGTTTTCCCCTTTGAGTGATTCTGCACACATGCCACGAGGGCATGGATCAAGCCATGCTGCCCGACCAGCGCCAGGGGCTGGCAGGAGCCCCACCGAGCACAAGGCCATACAGAGAGATGCTGGGGTGGGGGGAACACGCCACAAGCAGCCATGGGGACCACCGTGCCTGTGGCCAGGTGGGCCTCGGAGCAGGCAATCCCCGAAAGCGGTGCCTACCCCAGTCTGTGTCAATGGGACCTTGCTGGAGGGCTTGATGTGCCGGGGGGCCCCGCACTCACCCCAGCCGATGAGGATGTACCACCAGATGTACCTCTTGTCGGAGGTGAAGGTGAGCAGCAGCAGCGTCTGCAGGTACATGCCCTCCACCAGCAGCCAGTAGAAGTTGGCCAGGACCGAGTACTGGAAGAAGGCGATGGCTGCTTTGCAGTTGACCTGTGAGGATGAGGAGGGGGGAAGGCTCAGAACTGCCGGGCTGGCATCAGACCTTGTCCCGGGGATGCAGGGGACATCATGGTCAGCCATGATGGTCACTGATGGTCAGCCTCGCCATCCACCTGATTGAGGAGACCTGTGAGGGTCTTTCAGTGCAGCCCCAGGGATGCTGCACCGGTGCCACACGTCACCTGTGGCATTTTCTGCTCTGCCTGTGCATCATGGGCACAGGGTATTATTGTAGGACCTTTAGAAACGCATGTCTGTGGTGCCCACGGTGTTGTATCTGGGCTGCACACGAGGGTTTCTGTTCCTATTGACAATCCCAAACCTGCGCATCTGGAGGTGCAAGGTCTGTTTGCACATCCATGGTGCTGCTGGGGCTGTGCGGAGCTTTAGCCCTGCTGGGAGACTCTCTGAGACCAGGGAGAGCTTTGAGGGCAGAACATAGAATCACCGAATCATAGAATGGTTTGGGTTGGAAAGGACCTTGAAGGCCATCCAGTCCCACCCCCTGCCCTGGGCAGGGACACCTCCCACCAGACCAGGTTGCTCCAAGCCCCGTCCAACCTGGCCTTGAACACCTCCAGGGATGGGGCAGCCACAGCTTCTCGGGGCAACCTGCCCCAGGGGCCACCACACCCACAGGAGAGAATTTCTTCTTAATGTCTAATCTAAATCTCCCCTCTTCCAGTTTGAAGCCATTCCCCCTCGTCCCATCACTCCATGCCCCAGTAAAAAGTCCCTCCCCAGCTCTCCTGGAGCCCCTTTAGGGACTGGAAGGTCGCAATAAGGTCTCCCTGGAGCCTTCTCTTCTCCAGGCAAACATGTTCACTGCAGACAAGACCCAGGCAGAGAGGTTGTCATGAACCTCCTGAAGTCCACCCAAGCCAGCCTTTCCACCCCAGGTTCACAGCCTTTCCCTCTCTCCTCTTTGCAGTGCTAAATCCACTGCAAATCCACCTCAACCCCTTCAGATCAGCACATGGTGCCCTCTCCTGCACCATGTCCGGGTTGAGACTCGATGTCTTACTGTTGACATTGTGCAGTGGTCGACAGACTCATCTGAGAAGAGGACGGCGTCCTTGATGAACACGGCAGCCCCACGCAGTATGAAAGAGGTGAAGAAGTGGATGTGGATGGAATTCCTGGTGCAATGCAGCTTCCTACGGGAGGAAGAGATGTGCTGTGCCCAGGGAGGAGCAGAGAAAGCAGATGGGCAGAGAAGTTTCCCCTTCGGGAGCTGCTTCCCCAGCTGGACCTCAGCCCGGGGGACCACATCTCGGTGGTGGTCAAGCACAAAGCCCTGGAGAAGGTTTTCCTGCTCTGAAATCATGAAGGACGAGGTTGTGCTGTGCTCGAAGCTGCTGCCCGGGGATGAGGTGCGCTGGGGCACATCCTCCAGCCACCTCCTGAGAACATCCTTCTGCAGCACAGCGAGGTCTGCAAAAACAAAGCTTGAAAGGGCAACCTGGGGGTTTA